TAACTCTATATCCAGTACTTCTCCCATTGTCTCAAATGAATTAATAAATCTCCTTCACTTTACTGATACCTTTTGGTCATAATATCCTAATTTCAACATTAACCTTAAACCTTTGAACTTTTTTTAGTTCAGTGTTGCGTTACTGAATTCTTTTTTTTTGGTACCGGGGTCAAACTCGGGACCTTGTGCTTGTCAGAACCACTGAGCTAAATCCCAGACCACTGAATTCATTTTTATTTGATTCAGCCTACAGTTGTAGAGAAAAACACATCTCAGATATCTTAGCATTTTATTTAAACTTTGCTTTTTAACTAGAAACTTTGTGATGATTTGAGGTCAAGGTTTGATTAATGTTCCATTTTAAAGGAAGAATTGTATTTAATAACCAGTCTACATATCATCTCTGAACAGCTATAAAAGGTCCAAATACATTGTAAATCAAATTGAAATTATAAAATTAATATACCTGAAAGGAAAGCCTGGAAGGAGTTAAAGCGAGACAAACAGAAGTTGTTCTGATTGTCTCTGAAGCCATGTTAGACAAAGTAGTATGTATGAAAGGACAAATGGAACTTCTATAAAAATTTCAGAAGTACATGAAATAGTTTCATGAGGACCTCAAGGAGTGACAACCCAAGCTCTAGTCAGAGAGACCTGAGATCTAACCCTGGCTTCCTTACCTAACAACCAAGCAAACATAAGCCAGTTACTTAACTTTTCCTAAACTTCAATTTCTTTATCAGTAAAATGAGGAAAAACGAAATGTATTAAGCAGGTTAGCTAATTACTGTAACAACATTAAAATTTCAGAGCCATAATTTACTAAAGCAAATAAAATCTACTACAAGTGTTCTTAGTCATGGAGCTCTCCTGGGCAGTGTTTCTCCAAGGGTTCATTTGTGATCCCAGGCTTCTTCCATTTTGTGGTTTCAATCCCCTCTAGATTCTTTAACATCCTTATTCAGCTGCTAAGTAGGGAAAGAAAGAGAATGTGGAACATGTGTGGGAGGTCTTCAAGGTGTTTTGGGCCAAGACTTTAATGGCTTTCATCATTTCTGTACACATTCTTTTGGACAGAAATCAGTTACATGATCCCAACTAATCATAAGGGTGGCTGGAAAGTACAGTCTGTGTGTTCAGGAGGAAAAGGAAAGTTCAGTGAACACAAGCTGTCTCTGCCCCTTAAGGTCATGAAGCTATTCTAGGGGGAAGAGATACTGCATGTAGATGTTCATATATGCTTAGTTAACAGAAGTTCAAAAGAGTACAATCTAGATAAGCCGAATGTCTAAGAACTAATAGACTCTGGATTTGGGAATGGGCTTAAGTGTAAAAATTCTGGTCAATTTTCTGTTCCTTTTTTTCTCTCCCACTTTCCTACTTTTAAGTCAGGCTCCAGGGTTCCTCAGGTGCCGCACACCTTTTTCTTCCCACTTATTTTCTCCTCTGTTGCTACTTAAAGATTTTTTAAATGTCTAAGAACAGAGACTATGATTCTCTTGTACTCTATTATGTCTTCACATCTTGCAAAGCCTAGCACATTATACACAGGCAAGAACTATTTGTTGAATGGATTTAATCGATACTAGCAATTGCTTCAAGAATTGGCTAAAGGATCAGAATAAAGTAAAAGAAAGAGAATGAGTTCTTAATTCTTTTTTTTGTTTGTTTGGGGTTTTTTTGGTACCAGGGACCAAACTCAGGACCTGGCGCTTGAGAGGCAGGCAGCAGCACCACTGAGCTAAATCCCTGGCCTGAGTTTTTAACTCTTGCTTCTGCCACTTACAATCTTTGGGATATGGGAAGTTCTTCTAAGGCTTGTTTGTTTCCCTGTATTAGATAGCCATGATAATTTGTGGAGTTATTGTAATGAAAATTAAATTTTAAAAATGATGTTGTATTCTTAGCATGTAGGACACATTAAAAAACCTGCCACTTCCCCTAGGTCCTATGGTTCTCTACATAATGTAACTTTTAGTTGTGAGAGAGTAGGAAATAATATGTGCTATTCATGTTGTTTCCTTCTATTTTTGGACTGTTCATTTGCAAAGTAAAAGCAAAGATGCCTTCATTATCAAAGTAGAAAATTGACAGGTTCCCAAAGGACTCATGGATTCACTGTTAGAAAAGTATTCGGCACCTATACAAAGTAGGTGTTCAATACATATTTTTTGAAAGAGTAAATTAACAAAGTACTGATTTAGGTAATGTTCTAAACAAGTAATTATAGGATGGTCTTTAATATTTGTGAAAAAGCAGGCAGATTTTATCAAATGAAAGATTTAGTGTGATGGTGTATCCAAATGGGTATTTTAAATATTTTCATTAATTCATTATAACATTGTGTCTACTATGCATCAGTCACAATATTAGCTTAGGGATAAATGCTACTTTGCTTAGGGTTATCTCTCATGCTAGTAAAATAAATTGATCACAGAAAGTTGTACAGATATTATAAGAGTAGCAAAAGGAGATCACTGCCTGCCTAATGGGGTGAGAAACAGCATGGTATTTCCAGGTATGGTAAGTAGTAGGATATTGGCTGGAGTGCATGTAGGGAATGAGGAGAGATGAACTTCAAGAGCCCTATATCCCAGGCTGAGAATCCTGAATTTTATCCCCTAGCATGATGACAGTGGTGCTTGTCTTAGTCTGCTGTTATAGGAGACCACCACGGACTGAATACTTTACAATAAGCATAAATTTATTGGCTCAGTTTTAGAGGTTGGGAAGTCCAACATCGAATGCCTGGTTCCTGGTGAGGACCTTCTTGCTGTGTTAGTCTAGGGCAGACTGTTATAAGCAGGTGTGACTGTGAAGCCTCAAGCCCTTTTATAATCAGCATTGATCCATATAAAGGAGTCATCTTTATGATCCAAAAATCTCCTGTGAGGTCCCACTGACCAACACTGTTATACCGGGGATTAAGTTTCTAACATATTAACGGGGGCAAAGGAGGGGAATCACATCTTGGGACACATGCAAGCCATATAGAGCATTGGAAGATTTAGTGTAAAGAAATGATAATCTTATTTTAGTTTTAGAAAGCTCTGGATTAGAGGATTGAGATATGAGAGACAGAAACCAGCTAAGAAATTACTAGAATAGTTTAGGTATTAAAAAAAAAATCCTAAAGGCTGAAAATAAGGCATAAAAGTGGTGTTAAAAGAGGAGGGCTTTACCGGATTTTAGTAGATTGAGCTAGATGAGGTAAATGAGAAGGAAAGCTCAGAATTAATCACAGTTTTGCTTTTGTTTGTTTGTTTTTGACTTGGGCATTTCTGCAGGTAGTAAGACCTTTAATAGAAACAAGAAACAAAAGAGAGGATCCATATGATGATTAAGGATGTGTGTTAGTAGGCAAGGACAAAAAATTTTCTTGGCTATAGTGAATTTCTGGAGAATCTGTGAGATTTCAGGTATAGATATTTTTGACTACACCAAGGACACCGGAATACAGAGTAGACTTAAGCAAATAAAATAAGGTAGACTAATAATTCCTATCTTTAGAATAATTTTCCACCTAAATTTCTCCATATTTTTCAGTTTCATAATTATACATAAACCTCTACAATGATTGCTAAATGTTTACGTGTTAGATGCTTCTAAAATGTATCCTTGAAAAAAGTACGGTGATATTTCTAACAGAAGCAAGTTTGTTAAAAAGATAAACATGTTCACAATTATTTACATAAAGATATGAAAGTTCTTTGAAACACTGAAATAATTTCCTAGAATAGTATTGCCAAAATTCCATAGTATTACCAAAAGTGTGCTTCCTGCTATATGCTTAGGAATAATTTTTACATTGTTCTTAAGTATAAAATATTTAGCTATTGATTGCTAGACTATCCTATGGTGCTGCAGAATTTCACCAGCCATAGTAAAAGAGGTATGGGTGTGTGAGAAAGGCAATGAAAGGAGACCGTAAAATTCCTGATATGTCAGGTAAAATGTTAAATACCTAATAGCTTTCATCTTTTGAAAGTCACCAGATTGCAGCACAGTATTTTGGATTTTGTTGGCAGATGGTGTACACAGATTTTCTGAGTATGTTAGTATTTCACTTGAAACTAGCAAGTGATTATGATGGTAACTTAACATTCAGAGAATTTTAAATTTATGCCTAATTCTGGGTTAAATGTAGGACACTAATAACATTTTAAAAGTCTTTGTTAATAGATCCTCTGGTTCTCATAGAACACATTCTCAGGATACAGTTCTCTAAAATGCCACAGGGCAATGTCAATATCTTTCCATGGAAATCTGGCTTGGCCAGTGAGAAAAAAGAGGCCAGAGGGAAGAAAGGCTAAACCAGTGGAGATGGCAGGTACTGATGTCTGAATCTTTGAATGGGACTTCTCTATTTACCACCCCTCTCACTTCCTTCTATGGTCTGGATCTTTAATCACCACAGCAGTCAGCCATGTAGGGTCAAGCTAATCGTGTTGACATCATCCTACTACTTCCCTTTTCAAATTCCAGTGAAGCTATGCGTTTCCTGTCCTATTTGACACCCTAGAGAATGAACACTGGTTGGTTAGTATCTAAATTTAGGCTGGCAGCGACAAATCGAGTTTTCAGAGATAAACAAAACCAGGTGACACTTCCAAGCCTCTCAAAGAAAAGGGGGAAAAGAACCTCTCTGAGATAAATAAACAGGAGAGCTTTTCAAGTTTCACAGTAGAGAGAGGCTTGTTGGCAGGTTCAGAAAATAGGCTGACTGGATTCTATGGTTAAAGCTAGGAGGACGGCTTTGGGGGCGTCTCCAAACATTCTTGACTACTAGCAAAACCCAGGGAGCCGGTGTCCTGACACCCCCCCCCTTCCTCAGCAGCTCTGCAGACAGCTGCAGCTCCTCTTTGTCAAGTCCCAAGGCACGAGAACACCCTTAAAGTAGGGTGAAAACTGGGCACAGCCTCCCCTCCCCTGAGGCGCACGTCTCGCTCGTCGCCACGCCCCCTCCCCTACTGTGACCCCCGAACCCTGCCGTAGGCGACCTGTTGGCAGCCGAGGTCACGTGACGCGGCCAGCCGAGCATTCCCGGCAGGCAGCCTCCTGTTGCGCCCGCCCGGCGGGTTCCATCACGTAAAGCGCGGGCGCCGCCCCGCTCTTCCCTTGCTGAGCGAGGGGAGGGCGGGCATCGAAGAGGAAAGGGAAGGGAAAAGGGGTGGGAGAAGGGAGGAGGGACGGCGCCAGCGTCACGTGACCCGGGGGCAGCCCGGAAAGCTCCGAGGAGGAGCCTGGCGCCGCCATTTTCCTGCAGCTTCCTGTCCCTCTTGCCCTGCCCGGCTCCAGCTGACCAGGGAAGGGGTGGGCTGAGCTGAGGCGGGGGCAAGGGAGTGCCCGACGTCGTGTCATACCCCGTGGGGGGGACACGAGCCAGTTCTACCTGGGCTGGGTGGCAGCACGAGGCCCTGAGCCCCGCCCCAGGCCGGCAGGCGGGCGAGAGCCGGTGGGGGTAGGGGGTGCGGTGGGGGGTGGGGACCCTCGGGCGCCTGGGGCTCCTGGTCCCCGCCGGCTGCTGAGCGGGTGGGTGGCGGAGGAGACGCAGCAATGTCTGGCCAGAGCCTGACGGACCGAATCACCGCTGCCCAGCACAGTGTCACCGGCTCCGCGGTATCCAAGACAGTATGCAAGGCCACGACCCACGAGATCATGGGCCCCAAGAAAAAGCACCTGGACTGTGAGTGAAGCCCGCTCGGCCCCGTCCTCGCCCGCGCAGCCCGCGTCCTTTTCTCCGTTTCCAGCTGCCTGTTCCCTCCCTGCGTGTTGTCTGGCACGGCGGGTCCTGTGCTCCTCGGGCTGTTCTTTTTTGCTTTCATCACACCTGCCTTCACTGCCTCCGTTTCTCAGTCCCCTGTCTAAAAATCTGTGGCAAGCCAGCCACTCTTCTCCCGAATCCTAGGGGACCCTTGCCTCCCCAGCCGATGCACCACCGTACTCCATCAAACCCGGCCAACCTGCCCCCTCGCCCCCGCCTAGCTCCTCACCCCCTGCCTCTCTAGCCTGTCTACTGCAGCCTCTGTTCTTCCTTCCATCCTTCTTGCCCCGTGCCTTTCGTTGCCCTCGCCTGAGCGTCTCCTGGACCCATCGCCCCATTGTTTCTCCATCAGCCCTCTTCGGGTTTCGGTGGACGCCGAATTCTGTGGAGCCAGGTCCTTCTTACTCCGCAGGCTTTCAAGTGGATCCCACTTCTTTTGCTCTGCTAGGCTTCTCCCTATCCGTATCGGTTTTCTCTTCCATCTTTCCTCCTCCTTTTGGGGCTACCTTTCTTTGCTTTTGTAGTTTCAGTTATTTCAACTCATTTTCTTTTTACTATCATACTCATTCACCCGACTTTTGTCTGTATTATCTTCTTCGTGGGGAGTAAAAAAGTAAACGGATTCAGGTTGGTGTAAGGAAAGCTTTCTGAAAGTTTGATGTTTTTAATTTGCTCTTGGTGGAATTTAATCATTGTATTGCCCACGCCTCTGATCGGAGTGAGTTGTGAATGTCAGATCCCCTCTCGCCTTTTTAAAAATTTAAGTACGGATGTGGAAAAAAAGACTGCTGATACTGGTACTGTACCAGTTCCTGGAATGTTAACCTTGACAGTTTGAACTTAGAAGCTTGTATGTGAGACCTGTAGTGTTGGGATTCAAAATGCATTAATAAACTTACCTATACATAATATAGATCTGTTAAAAAACATTACTAAGATGATTGATGCTTTAGTTTGGATATGTATCAATTTATGCTGATTATCTTTTGGGGAACTAACTTTTCTTATTGGACATAGTGTTACTCCATTGGCTTAGATACAATTAATAGAACTCCTCCCAATTTTTTTCAAACCTGGAAGCCACCCCTTTTTTTTTTAAGCTCCTTTACCTCAGGGTGCAAAGCTCAGTGGTTCACTCAAACCTTGAGTCAGTAGAGCTTTGACCTGAAACTTTTCAGGGAGAAGTAGGGAGATAGGCACAGTTCTAAGTTCCCTTTTTAACCGACCACTGGACACATTAGCCCAACTGACTTTCATCATACAAGAAAGTTATTTGGCTTTACTGTGAAGCAAGAGTGAGCGTGTTCTGAAAGGGAATTCACTGTCAGGAGTCCTGTTTTGATTTCTCACTGGACTTTGTAAGGTTTGCACTTACAAACAGTGTACAAAATAAATGCTTGCAAGATATTTACTCATGAAATGTTGTTAGAATAAATTATTGCTACAGACAAACCCCTTATTCATTGTGATTTCCTTTGCTGTGGAATAGTTTTATAAAAACCATTACTGTTTGGTTCTCTATGATAGTCAAACAAGCTGCCTTTTAACGTTGTCTTTGCCTGTTTAGAGTATGGTGAATATATTTAAATAGTGACACTCTTACGAACAGAAAATTCTTTAAAATGCATCGTGAAGCTATAAATGATTTTTAAATTATCTAGTATTTAGAGTAGACGTTTTAACTGTTGACATCCCTTCAAAAGACTACTTGGTTTGCCCTACTAAATTTTAGTTTGCCAGGACACTGTCTTTCTTTTTTGTTTATTTTGATATGGAAGGGGAAGAAAAATTACTTGTGTCTTTGTGAACTATTTTCCTCTTCTCCACTCACAGTGATGAATTATAACAATTGATACAGCTTTTAAAAGTTTTTATAAAGGTTGTATGTTCAAATGTAGCAGTGAGTCTTTTGACAGATTCCTACAAAGGGTAGAAAATAGGTTGGTTAAAGTTAGAAGGGTAGTATTTGGTTGTGGCTTTATAAATGTTAATGGCTTTTTCTCTTATAATAGCTGTTACTGCAGATGCTAACTGGGATTAGATTTTGAGGATATTCTCACATTTGTAGGTCTTTTTCTTTATCACTGCTGTATATATTACAAAAACTCGTATTTTTAGAGCTTGGATGTACTGGTAATGTTTGATTTTTGAAACCTGTATAAATAAGATGCCTCCATTTCTTTTCAGTGATATTTTAAAATACAGTTTCCTTTGTTGTTTAAAATTTCCTTGAAACTAGTTCTCACTAAAGAAAGAAATTTAAAATCTCACCAGTGAGTGACCCACACACCTTAGCATGCTTTGAGAAAATTGTAAAGACTTCCACGGATAGTTTCTGGTGTTGACATCTTTACCTTTAAGCTTTAATTACAGAAGTATGTCATTTCAAGTAATTTTTTTATTTAAAATTTTTTTTTCTCTTTGAAGTATTTTGCTTAACAGTGAAAGCTTAGTTCTCTTTATCCAAATGAAAAAACAAAATTTCAATTTAAAAATATGTGTTTAGCAAAAAACGTTCTTACAATTACTGTTTTCCCTGTAGTCTCTTAGACTGCAGAGGTAGTTTCTATGCACTTCCTTAACAAGGTCTTTCCATATTAGGAAGTGAATTATGGCTTAATTTATGCATTATATATGTTGAAGAAAGGTCCTTTTTGTTTGCTTGTTACAGTTAGTGGATAAAGCATTAACACGTATCCCTATTGAAAAGAGTTGTTAAACTTGAAACAGTATAAAAATAAACATGATTTCTGTTTAATTTCAGGCCTCTAATAGCCATCCATAATTAAGGTACAAAAATAGCACTTATATGTGAAGGACTTCAATTTTTCAGGCATGGTATCCTTCCTACAGGTAATAAAATATATTGATGCTCAAGTCCCTTATTTAAAATGCATAGTATTTGCCTTAACTTACTTCCTCCTGTATATTTTAAATCAACTCTAGATTGCTTATACCTAATAAAATATAAATGCTATCTAAATAATTGTATTTAGGGAATAATCACAAGAGAAATTTCATACATGTACATTATAGACACAGTTATTCCTAAATATTTTGATCTGAGGTTGGTTGAATTCAAAGATGTGGAACTCAGAAACAGGGCCAACTGTAATATGTATTGTAAAAGAGAAATTCTAAAGAGAACTCGTTCACCCATTTTTGTGTCTATCCTATTATTTGTAATTAGCAAATGCATTCTAAAACATCTTTGTAATTACACTTCATTGGTGGGCTTATTTAAGAAATGTTTAATGTTAAACATAGCATCTATGCTTTTTATTTTTACTATGTATTTTATATCTGGATAAATTTCAGGTGTCTTTGAATTTAGTGGCAGGTGAGAAATACTTCACAGTGACTTAGCTACTTCCTATCATATGATTTGTGAAGCATTTGTATGAAACATTTGATGTCTTATATTCACTAATTAAATCATTTGAATCATCAGAATTGCTTTAAATAAAATTTATTTTGATCTTGATCATCACTTAGAATATTTAATGTGAAAGTTCACCATAATATATAGAAAGTTGTCTGTTTATTTTCTTCAGTTACAAAAAGCTGAATTTCACCATTTCTCAAAATGAAAGTATTAAGAAAAATAAATTTAAAGGATTTTTGCCAAGAGGTTAGAGCTCTACTAAGAAGTAGCATTAAGAGTTTTAAAGGCTTAGTATTTGCTATTCCTGTTCTTTTGGTGGCTAAAGTGGCATTTCCGTTACTTTGTGTTCTGTCTCAGTATGTTCCCAGTTGAACTGCTTTATAGGTTTCTCTAGAGAATCAAAATTTGGATTTGACCTTTTGGAATTTTGTATGTTCGTTGTGTATATTGTTCTTTTCATGGAGAATTATTCTGGGCAGTTTGATTTGACTAATGATCAGTCATTTAAAAGGGAGGTGCTGCCGCCCCCGCCCCCCGCCCCCCCCCCAGTACCGGCAGTAGAACTGAGGAGTGCTCTGCCACTCCAGCATGCTCCCCCCACCCTCACAATAAATTTTTTTGAAATAGTGTCTTGTTAAGTTCCCCAGGCTGGACTTGAAGTTGTGGTCTTCTTATCTCTGTTAAAAGAGTCTTGATGAAGCTAACCTTTGTAGTTTTAAAAATTATATTCAGAGTGGTGATTTGCAAGATTATCAAAAATATTAAGGGTTTATCAAGTTATATTAGTATGTAGATAGTAGTGGGCATTTTCTTTGTACTTATGCCTAGTTTTTTTTTCTTTCTTTCTTTTCAGTGCTAGGGATTGAACCCAGGGTCTCTGGCTTGCTTGACAAATGCTATTAAAGTGAGCTATAACTCCAGCTTATATTTTAAGCAAATGCGTATTTATGCTTATTTTGCACTGGATACCTTACAGAGCCCACTTTACATTTGTTAATTAC